AAAAAAAAAAAAAAAAAAGAATGGAAAGTAAAAATGCACCATTTCCAACTGATGGGAACTTTTTTCAGGGTGAAGAAGGGGAATACAGTGAAGAGGAAAACTCCAAAGTGGAGCTGAAATCAGAAGCCAATGATGCTGCTAATTGTTCAGCAAAAGAAGAGAAGGGAGAAGAAAAGCCTGACACCAAAGGCACTGTAACTGGAGAGAGGCAGAGTGGGGATGGACAGGTCAGTGTCCACCACAGGCCTCCATTTTGGGGGCCAGAATAAGGACTCTTAACCTTGGAGAGAATAAGGAGCCCTTTGTCTGTCCTCTAGGAGAGCACAGAGCCTGTGGAGAACAAAGTGGGTAAAAAAGGCCCTAAGCATTTGGATGATGATGAGGATCGGAAGAACCCACATGGCTGTTCCGTGAGGAAAGGGCTCTTGAGGCCATGTTCCTTCCCAGGCAAAACCAGGTAGAGGGAGAGTGCAAAGCCTGCACAAACCATTTGTTGCTGCTATTAGTATGTATTTAGTGCTTACTGTATGCCCAGCACTTTGCTAATTTATTGCTCACAGTACTTTAAGTTTTATGATTATCTTTTGAGGAAAGTGAGGCTTAGGATATTTGGTAACTTTTGGTGGAGGAGCTGGGATCCAGACCCACACTTCCACTGCCTTCCTTAATTTGAGGCTCAAGACTCTGGGATATGAAATAGTTGCATAGGCTGCCTTATAAGCAAGAGATATTTATTTCCAAGGTGCTGAGTAGTTTGAAGTGAAGTCTTTCCTCATTTTTGTCCCTTATTACATTTGAGCTCAGTAGGCTCTGTGATTCACTCTTGGTTTTGTATAATCTGTCTGGGAAAATGGGAAGACCAGTGAAGTTCCTACTGTTTCTCTGCCCAACCCTATTTTTTTGTGAACATCTTTATATAATGGAATCTACCAGCCTAAGACACTTTTTCCTGGTTTTATCCAGACCCAAAGGGAGACAGCGAAAGCTATGGAAGGATGAGGGTCGCTGGGAGCATGATAAGTTCCGGGAAGATGAACAGGCTCCAAAGTCTCGACAGGAGCTAATTGCTCTTTATGGCTATGACATCCGCTCAGCTCACAATCCTGATGACATCAAACCCCGAAGAATCCGGAAACCCAGGTGAGGAAATTTTGCAGTTTATATTTATATTTTAGAGAGACCTTTGCTTTTCTAAATGCCATTTCAGCCTGTCATTCAGTCGGTGAGGAATGGGTGAAGTCTCCCTGACCTTCAGTTTATATCTCTAGTCATCTCATCTCTTTTGTTATTTCTTTCCTTAAGACTTTTGCCATTCCATTTATTCAGGTTTGGGAGTCCTCCGCAAAGAGATCCAAACTGGATTGTTGAGCGACCAAACAAGTCCCATCGCCATCAGGGTCCTGGGGGCACCCTACCACCAAGGACATTTATTAACAGAAATGCTGCAGGTACTGGCCGGATGTCTGCTCCCAGGAATTACTCTCGATCTGGGGGCTTCAAGGAAGGTCGTGCTGGTTTTAGGCCTGTGGATGCTGGTGGGCAGCATGGTGGCCGATCTGGTGAGACTGTTAAACATGAAGCCAGTTACCGGTCACGGCGCCTAGAGCAGACTCCTGTGAGGGATCCATCTCCAGAAGCTGATGCTCAAGTGCTTGGCAGTCCTGAGAAGGAAGAGGCAGCCTCAGAGATTCCAGCTGCTGCTCCTGATGCTGCACCACCAGCCCCTGACAGGCCTATTGAGAAGAAATCCTATTCCCGGGCAAGAAGAACGAGAATCAAAGCTGGAGATGCAGTCAAGGTTGCAGAGGAGGTGCCCCCTCCACCTGAAGGGCTGAACCCAGCGCCTCCAGTCCCAGAAACTACCCCTTCTCCACCTGCTAAGACTGGAGCCTGGGAGGCTCCAGTGGATTCAACTACAAGTGGACTTGAGCAAGATGTGGCACAACTAAATATAACAGAACAGAATTGGAGTCCAGGGCAGCCTTCGTTCCTACAGCCACGTGAGCTTCGGGGTAGGTACCTTAGGGTTAGTGACTAACTTTTTTCCCTGAGCATCACTGAGTTTGGGGACATGGGATTAGGTGTCTTGGGGATATAGTGTCTGATAAATATCTTTTTTTTTTTTTTTTTTTT